ACATTGATCAACGTGAGTGACACAGGCAACCCATATCAAACGAAGAGTAATCCACAGCTGTGGTTATTTTGACTTGTGGTCCTAAGGGGTCATCCTTGGAAACTATTTTCACTCAGTTCCAAGCTTACATGTGTAAGTGTGTATATGGGCTTACACACTTCTCACATACCAAAAATATGAACCCTGTAAGGAACCACTGAAGGCAATAGAACAGGCTCATTTTGAAGTCCAGCATCTTATCATTCAATTACTATCACGTGTGCATGAGGTTACTACAAATTATCAGGTGCACTTTCTTTTAACATATGCACTAAAAGGATATATTATTTGCACAAATCAAACGTACAAGACTGAAGTAGACATAGGAAAGTGCAGTGTACGCAACTATTTTAGAAGGGCAAAAGATAATAAATGGCACCTTTTGCCTCGTTGCACTCCGGGAAGCAAGAGGGGTCACCAGCATCTCTACTAGAGCCACTTAAGAAAATTCAGCCTGGATTCCCCCTTTTGTCCTATCTGCTCAAACCAGCATGGTATGTTCCAGAAATACTGCCTCAATATGTGCCCCCAGTGTTTTCATAAGTACTTAAAAATAGACGTTTCATTAAGTTGGAGTAAGATATGTCTCCCTTGAATAACCAAAGCATCCACCCAATGAAAGAAACCATGTTAGCTCCTTGTACATAAATTTAAAAGTACAGAAAAGAAAATAGACCACAGTAATGGGCCATATTCTGAGAAAACCAGCAAGACCCTATTTTCACTTTATCTGGTAATGTTTTCCTGAAGCAATTGGCTTTATCTTCCATTTTTAGCTTCTTAGAGCTTTTACCAAGATGGCAGAATAACAGCTCTTTTTCCTCTACAAAAGCTATTATTATCTGCTTCATAGTTCAAATGGAGAATCACTAAGGAGAAGGTAAACAACATATTCCCTAAAAGTCAGATTGAAGAGGGTCTCATCAAATAGCCTCTTTTTTCTGCTGGGCCCATCTCAGGCATCATTTTGATCATCATCATCGTCTTTACTCATGTTCATTGTCACAGCTCGTTCGACTCCAAACCTACTCATGGGTATGTTTCTCTCTGTACCGCTTCTTTAACCTAACATCTAGATACCTAGAGGGGTCAATGTACAGTGAATCACACTCTTTATGCCTTTCTCTGTTGTTTCTTTCCAGTATGGGCTGAAATTCCCTCTCCAGTCACAGGAAAGTCTCAGGTTCTGATTAGGAACACTCTCCTCCTTACACCATCCCTGTCACAGCCTTGGTCACTTCTCTATTTGATAATGGATTATAGACCCCATCAACAGCATGGAAATAATTTCTTGGCGAATTAGGCAATTCTTGCTCTGAGTGGATGAAGACTATCTTGAGGCCCGTGACTTCCTAAGCAAAACTTGAGTTTGATTTCATATCTGCTTGCCTCTAGGCGATACTCATTTTATTTGAATAACCTATAGATTCTTACATGCTGGCCTTGCAACACACACAGTGACTCCCCTTTCTTGACTGATATTCACCAGCTCATTTTAGTTCACACAGGCCATTTGTTACAACATTTTAATCTCAGATACTACTTTGCTCATGGTGGACAAAATGACATCTCAGATACAAAGAAATGACATAGAGTTCAGGAGTCAATGTTCAACAAAGAAATTTTGAATTGCCTCTGGGGACCTACTCAACTTCCTTTTCATGCTCCTCAACCCAAATTCCTGATCTTCTCTTAGCAAATATGGCATTGCTCAAAGCCCAGAAAGTCATTTTCTGGACTCTAAAGCATTCATTCTCAAAGGTTTTGGGGCTTTTCAGTTTTTGTTGAAGCCTCTCACAGAATAAATCTACTCTGTGATAATATTGTCCTTGATACCCAAGTCCCTCAAAACTGTTTCCCCTGGGGCGCTGTCCGTGGTGCTGAGCATTGGTGCGTTGAGCCCTTTATTTGCAAATGAGGGGCCAATGTGACAGAATAAGAGAGGAATGTTGTTTTGTTTTGTTTTGTTTCATTTTGTTTTGTATTGTATTTGGTAGATCATAGTCAAAATCTCCATGATGAATGAAGCAGAAATTCAACTTGGATTTTCAAACCACAATTTCCAGAGTGACCTCTGTCAGCACTCCAGTTTAACATAATATGGGAAGTCCTGGCCAGATCATCCAGCAAGAGAAAGAAAGAAAGGGCATCCACATAGAGAGCAAGGTCAAACCATCCCTGTTTGCACATGCCATGATTCTATATCTAGGAAACCCTATACTCTCTGCCCAAAAGACCCTTAAGCTGGTAAACAACTTTATCAAAGTTTCAGAATACAAAATCAATGTGCAAAATCACTAGAACTCTTATTTGCCAAAAACAGCAATGCATGGGGCCAAATCAGGGATGCAATTTTATTCACAATTGCCATAAAATGAATAAAATACATAAAAATAAAGTTAACCAGGGAGGTAAAACATCCCTACAATGAGAATGACAAAACACTGCTCAAAGAAACAAGAGATGACATGAAGCAATGGAAGAATGTTCCATGCTCATGGATAAGAAAAATCAATGTCATTAAAACAGCCATACTGCCCAAAGAAATTTACAGATACAATGCTATTCCTGTCAAACTAGGCATTTTTACAGAATTAGAAAAAAACTATTCTTGACATAATGACATTCTTTACAGCATTTAAAAAATATTTTAAAATTCACATGGAACATAAAAAGAGCAAAGTAACCAAGACAATTCTAAGCAAAACCAACAAAGCTGGAAGCATCACATTACTCAACTTCAAACTATACTACAAGGCTATAGTAACCAAAACAGCATGGTATTGATATGAAAACAGACACACAGACCAGCGGAAAAGAATGAAGAGCCCAGAAAGGAGGCTACACACCTATAACCATCTGATCTTCGACAAAGCTGACCAAACAAGCAGTGGAAAAACAACACCCTACTCAAGAAATGATGGTGGGAGAACAGGATAGCCATATGCAGAAGATTGAAACTGGACTCCTTCTGTATACCATATACAAAAATCAACTCAAGATAGATTGAAGTCTTCAACGTAAAACCCAAACTGTAAAAACCCTGGAAGACAACCTAGGCAATACCCTGCAGGACATAGGCATGGGCAAAGATTTTGAAATGAACATGTCGAAGGAAATCTCAACAAAAGCAAAAATTGACAAATGGGATCTAATTAAAGTAACGAGCTTCTGAACAGCAAAGGAAAGTATCAACAGAGTAAACAGCCTACAAAATAGGAGAAAATATTTTCAAAGTATTTATCTGAAGAAGGTTTAATATCCAGCATCTATAGGAAATTTCAACAACTTTACAAGAAAGAAACAAGCCCATAAAACAGTGGGCAAAGGGCTTGGCACAGTGACTTGTGCCTGTAATTCCAGCACTTTGGGCAGCCAAGGCTGGTGGATCCCTTGAGCCCAGGAATTTGAGAACAGGCTGGGTAACATGGCAAAAACCCATCTTTACTAAAAATAGAAAAATTAGCCTACCCTGGTGACATGCTCCTGCAGTTCCAGCTATACAAATGGCTGAGCTGGGAGGATCACCTTAGCCCAGGAGCCAGAGATTGCAGTGAGCCAAGATGGTGCCACACCACTCTAGCCTGAGTATCAGAGTGAGACAGATCTTAAAACAATAACAACAACAAAAGATGAGTAAAAGACAGGAACAGACACTTTTCAAAAGTAGACATACAGGTGGCCAGCAAACATATAAAACAAGCTCAACATCACTGAACATTAGAGAAATGCAAATCAAAACCACAATGAGATACCATCCCACACCTGCCAGAAAGATTCTTATTAAAAAACAACAAACAAACAAACAAAAACAGATACTGGAAAGGTTGTGGCGAAAAGGGAGCACTTACACATTGCTGGTGACAGTGTAAATTAGTTCACCCATTGTGGAATGCAGTGTGGTGATTCCTCAAAGAGCTAACAACAGAACTGCCATTCAGCCTAGCAGTCCCATTACTTGGTGTATACCCCGAAGAATAGAAATCATTCTGCCATAAACACATGTACATGAATGTTAATTGCAATGCTGTGTGCAATAGCAAAGACACAGAATGAACCCAAATGCCCAGCAAGGACAGATTAGCTACAGAAAATGTGGTACATGTACACAATGGAATACTATGCAGTCCTAAAAAAAAAGTGAGATTATGTCTTTTGCAGGAACGTGGATGGAGCTGGAGTCAATAATTCTTAGCAAACTAATGCAGGAACAGAAAATCAAATCCTGCATATTCTCACTTGTAATTGTGAACTAAATGATGAAACTCACGGACACCAAGAAGGGAACAACACACACTGGGGCCTACTTGAGGATGGAGGGTAAGAGATGGGATCGGAGGAGAAAAAATAACTATTCAGTACTATGTGTAGTACCCAGGTGAAGAAATCATGTGTACCACAAACCCCATGATGTGAGTTTATCTGCATATGTATCCCTGAACCTATAGTAAATTTTTTAAAAACCGAAGAAAAAAACAAATTTTACCTTTCTCCTAGAATCTGCAGGAGAAACAGTATCTCTGAAACTTTGGTTTCCATGGACTCCAAGAGAAAGGAGAGGGTGTATTTAGAGCCCAGGTGTGTGACAGACAGATGAGAGTGGCCCTCACCTGGCAGAGCCAAGGGGTCTAGTGTGGGGCAGGTTCATGAAAGAACTTTCTCTACTTCTCTCCCCAGATCCGAGGATCAAGGTCAGTGCTCTCCCAGAACCTTAAAAGGCAAAGAGAAGAATTACCTTCTAGGGCTAACGTCTCTCCCGAGATTCCCCAACTTTTTATTTTTAGCCGTTGTACAAATTGAGAAAATGTACACCTTCTGGGTAGATTCTGCATAGTAGAGAAAAGGCCTGAGAGGCACAAAGGCTAGGATTTTCAATCACTACCCCTCACTCCATCATCCTTATGTATGCATTTCGCTGGTAACTCAACCACAGCCTAATAAATCCCGGACCTTAATTTCTACTGCATTACAGACACAGACCTGCAAACAGCTATGGTTGTGACTGAGTTTCCTCCTGACATCTGAGCCTTTTTCATGCTTCAAGGAAAGCTTGCTTGGAGGAGCATGGAATCTGGAATGAAGCCAGAGGGCAGGGCTGAAAGGGAACATTTAAATGCTGCAACTCAGAGATTCACACAGAAGACCAGACACAATTTTGAAGAGTCGCCCAGAAGAAGACAACAATGTCATCACTACCTGTGAGTTGAAAAGGCACAGCCTTCAATAATCTCAAGTAACATAAACCAAACAAGAAACAGGAGAGCTGTTAAGAGATGAAAATATGAGCATTCCTTCCGTGAATGCTTTACTGAGAGTTGTGTGTGTGTGTAGAAGAGCAATCCTGAGGCTGTGGTATCTGAGATGCTTGTGGGGTGGGGGTTGTGGACCCTGGACCAGTGTAACCCTCTGTGAGCATGTGATAATGTCTGATGAGAGTGAAATCTGCTGAGATGATGTGACTTTAGGTGGGAGGTGGATGGCCCACCAGGAGGGGCAGGTGTCTGAGTGAGTGTAAGGGAGTGAGTGTGCTTTGTCTTCCTGTCTGTGAAGTGAGTTTCTGTGTGTGAGTGCAGCCAGACCAGTGCATGAGCATCTTTATGTTCACAGTGAGCAGTTATGTGTGACTCAGTGAGTGACATGGCTCTGTGTGACTGTGGGTGTGTGTCTGCTGGGATGTGACTGGGTATTGAACTGGGGACATGCATGTGGCCTTCTGTGCATGTGAAGGTTCTTCCCCACACAGCAGCACCTCTGATGAAGCAGCTGTGTGTCGTTTCATTTGTGTCAATGTGAATCCCAGGTGGCTTAACTGGTGGGGATCTTGGGGATTGTGAGTTATCGAGGACTCATTACAGATCACTTATGAGAGTGGAATGCATGATCAGTAGATGTCTCTTCCCAGTAAGAGTGAGAAGAGGAATGCAGACTAGGGGGTGATGATTCCTCAGGTGGGGACTGCACAGAGTTATCTCTGGCTTGTGCCTCCCAGGCTCAGCTTCCCTATCCCAGCCCAGCCTATTCTTCCCATCTTGGGACAGGAGGGTGTGCAGATACTGATTTGCCAGGGAAGGACATTAGAGGCTGTGGTTTCAGAGACTGAATCACACAAAATATCCACTGTAAACTCTGTGTGAACTGAGACTAAATTTGTTCCTCCACCCATGAAGGAACAAGTTTAGTCTCAGTTCAGACAGAGCTTACAGTGGATATTAATCAACAAAGCAGCTGGGTTCACTGGCTCATGGCTATAATCCCACCAATTTGGGAGGCAAAGATGGGAGAATAACTTGAGGCCAGAAGTTTGAGACCACTCTGGGCATCATAGTGAGACCCTTTCTTTAAAAAACTTTAAATATCAGACTGGCAGAGTGACAGGAACCTTTCACCCCAGCTACTCAAGAAGGGGGCAGGTGTGTGAGGATCACTGCAGCCCAGGAGTTCGCGGTTTCAGTGAGCTATGATTGCACCACTGCATGTCAGCCTGGGCGACAGAGCAAGACCCTATCTCAGAAATACAGAAAAATTATCAACCACTTCTAGTCATCGTAGAAATCAATGATTCCTTCCATGTCCCTGACCCACAGGCTTCATTTGTGCAAGTCCTGGGGCTGTGCTCTTCTGGGAAGGACGTCCATTGCCCTTGATGATTTGATGCATGTGCATCCCTCACACAGGGGTTTTCTGTTCTTTCATTATTTCCCTTTCTCTTTTTATAAGGATTGTTTTCACTGGAGTGAATTTTTAAATTCTTACATCCTCAAGTCTTGTTTTCATTTTCCAAGGTGAAAATGAAGGCAGGTCAGTGTTTCAGGTGGACTCCCCTGTTCTGTTAGTTCACCCCTAACAGGACCTACACATGCCAAGGATTAGGGTAAAAGTTTTATGTATATTAACTCCTCTCTTATGGAGAACATCCTACAAAATAAGAATTCCTGATAATCCTCCTTGTGCTGGGGAAACTGAGGCATGGAGTGTTCAAGTAGTGGATATAAGATGGCACTGCTAGCATAAGGCAAAATGAGAACTGGAATCCAGGCATCCTGGCTCCTGAACTCTTGCTCTTACCTATGGGTCCACCATATCTTCAGGAATATGGGCCCCTGACTGTGGAAGGGTGAAAGGGGGAGGCCTCAGAGTCTGCCCTTTGATCTCTAAACTCCTTCACCATGGGAATCTGTTACAGGAGGGGAGGCTGCACCTGACTGTGCACCTCTAATTCACTCTCAAATACCCTGGCAGGTGCCATACAAACTTCCTGTGTCCTTGTCTATTGGTTCCTGCGTGATAATCACAGGGAGACCGAAACTCTCTTTTCTGTGAGTACTCTATGGTCCAATGGAGGGAGTGGAAGAGAAGGGAGAAGATTTGCTAAGGGCTTGATGTTATGTGTGAGTGATGTGGAAATGTCTAGCTGGCAGTATGGAGGCTTCATGCAGGTGCAGGTCCTGGAGACCCTCCAGCACCCGGCATGAGACCTGCAGCAACTGCATGTGGGCCAGCCATGGGGCCTAGGGGAGGAGAACACTCAGTGGGTTGGGGTTGTGGCTCTTTATCAGAGGGCATAGAACTTGAACAAATCATGGATCCAGGTCAGTGACTGGGGCTCAATTTTCATCTGGAAATGAGGAGAACAGCACTTCTCTGTCAGAAGCATGAGGAGCTGAAGCATCCCCACAGGGAGCAGGCCTGCAGTATCATCAGGGAGACTTTTGCCCTGGGTAAAGGGGGGAAGGGATTTGTGTGTGTGTTGAGTGTGTGTTTGCGCAAGGGAGGGACCTGCCCAACCTGCTGTGTGCTTTGCCCTCAGCAATGATCCACAGCTGCAGGTGAATTTCTACACTGGGACAAATGAGGACTCAGATATTGCCTTCCAATTCCGAGTGAACTTTGGCAATTGTGTGGTCATGAACACTCGTGAGATTGGGATGTGGAGGTGCGAGGAGAAATGCTACAATGTGCCCTTTGAGGATGGCAAATCATTTGAGCTGCGCGTCTATGTGCATTACGATGAATACAAGGTGAGCACCCCAGGAACCTTCAGCATCCAGCCTCTTTGGGCTCCCAGAGCAGGAGGCAGCTCTTGTTGATCTGGCCCCACCAGTCTCTTGGGGCCCATCTCCCATAACTACTCCTGTTCCAGGTCCTTGTCACAGAGCGCCCTCTGCTGGCACTGCCATCCTCGGCTCTTTCGCAAATCTAACCAAGGTCAAGGTCGGCTCACCTGCCATTTCTCCCAAAGTGGAAATCTCCTCTGTCTTTTTCTATAGTGATCATTTCTACTTATGCTACTATTTAAATTTTCATTTAGCTGATTGTATATAATATACTTAAGAAAAAGGTCATTTTAATTATTCAAAAATTATGTCTTTGTCTCACTTTTTGGCCCCAATTCTACTCATAAGAGCAACATTATCAGAGCTCTGCTCTCCCTCAGAAAGAATCTTTTTATTTTACTTTATCTTATCTTATTTTTTGAGACAGAGTCTCACTTTCCTATCCAGGTTGGAGTGTGATGGCATGATCACAGCTCACTGTAACCGCCACCACCCAGATTCAAGCGATTCTCTTGCCTTAGCCTCCCACTACAGGTGCATGCCACAACTAAGTATTTTTAGTAGAGACAGGGTTTCATCATGTTGGCCAGGCCAGTCTTGGACTCTCGACCTCGTTTCATTTGCCCACCTTGGCCTCCCAAAATACTGGGATGACAGGCATAAACCACTGTTCCCAGCCCTTCAGAGAAAATCTCTTCCTATGGAAGCATATAGATATGTCTATGATTTTATTTGTTTTTAAGCAAATCCTGGTAAAAGTTGCTCTACACATTATGCTTTAGGAACTAAGTTGATTTGTTGTCAAAGAATGTATCTTGAAGATATTATCAATCCATGATGCTGCTTCAGTTTGTAAAAACTGCAAAATATTGCTTTGAAAAGTTTACCCAAAATTATTGAACTTGACCCCTTTTGGAGCATTAAAGTTGTCTTCAGTATTTTGCTCTCACAAATGATATTGTGTTAAGCTTTCTAATCAATCCTTTTGTAATTACCAACCTCCTTATGCTTATGTTGGTAGATAATTTTTAAAAAATGAAAAACTGATTCAAAATGTGTGCATTTTAAATTTGATAAGTTAATACTGATAAGGAGACTTTCTCTATGGTCTCAATATAAAAAAAAAAATCCATACTTTCTGGCCTTCTCTAGTGAGTAGGCCAAAAGATTCACATTTTATTCAGATTCAAGTGAGGAATCTTTCCCTATGCTTAGAAGTTTTTGATGATGGCCAGGCACAATGGCTCATCCCTGTAATCCCAGCACTTTGGGAGGCCAAAGCAGGTGGATCACCTGAGGTTGAGAGTTTGAGACCAGCCTGACCAACATGGAGAAAAGTCGTCTCTACTAAAAATACAAAATTAGATGGGCGTGGTGGCACATACCTGTAATTCCGGCTACTCAAGAGGCTGAGGCAGGAGAATTGCTTGAACCTGGGAGGCAGAAATTGCAGTGAGCCAAGATTGTACTGTTGAACTCCAGCCTGTGCAACAAGAGTGAAACTCCCTCTCAAAAAAAAAAAAAAAAAAAAAAAAAAAAAAGTTGTTGAGGACAATATTGTGTGTTTTATATCTGTCCTCCTTTAACTCTGTAAGAACACTGGGTTCCATTCTTTGCCACTATTACCTCAGATGTAAGTTTCTCCAAAGAGAAACTGCCATCAGTAGTGAAATGCAGTCACAGTTCATGTAACTGAAAGGTATGCGTTCAGTGAACATGGTCGAGCAGTAACCCTGCAACAGACCCTGTGAGAGATACAGGGTCTGAAGTTCCTGAGACACATTCCTTGATGATGGGGATCCTCCAGGTTAGAAGGGAGGCTGAGTGAACAGAGACTGTATGACACGGAGTGTAGAACTTCATGAGAGAAATGAGAGAAAACATTAGAAATAACGTGAGCAACTGTCTCAAATGAGCACAAAATTTCATCCACAAACAGAATTGTGTCTACTAGGTTCACTTGTATAACTAGGAGTTTTCTTGGGAAATATAATTGGTACTAAGGGAGAGTGGAGAGGAGGCTGAAAACTTGTCTGGTGGCATACTGTCTTTCTGATGCATTTTTCCTCCCATAGGTAATGGTAAATGGCCAACGCATTTACAACTTTCTTCATCGAATCCCGCCACTATTTGTGAATATGGTGGAAGTGTGGGGAGATGTCTCCCTGACCAGAGTGCTTGTCTGCAATTGAGGAAGATAATCACACTCCTCATTGTTAAGAAATCCCTCTTTCTACATGACCATGGAATTCCCGGAGCCTGCTAACAAAATAATCCCTCCTCACCTCTTGCCCCTACACTTGGTCATTAAAACAGCACCAAACCTCACATGATTTTGTTCTTGCTGTAAGAGGGGGAACGAGGAAGTGGCCATCCCCAAGAGGGACCAGGGAATTCTAAGGGAGATATCATGAAATCAAAGGCGGTGAATCTTCTTGTGACAAAGGGAGTAAGTGACAAGGTGCTTGGAATGTCTTAGAAGACATCAGGAACATCATCTTTCTGTTGCATGTATTTGACATCAGACAGTTTTAACCGAAATATTTACTCAATCTCAGATGACTGAGGGTAGTGAAATGTTAGGTAGCTATTTACAGCCATGTAGGTTTACCTGGTGACTTTAGGCAGAAACTGTAACTTGAGGAAAATCATGTGGAATTTCTTAATCTTTTCCATTGTTCTCAGGATGTATAAACACTGTGTATACACACTGGGCCTGGCTTTGTGTGGGCTGCTGCGAAGGAAGTGAAGGAAAAGATGACAAGCTTTGCATGTGAAGTTTTCAATCCAAGAAATAATTAGAGAATCACTGGAGTCCAGTGATTTTCCTTAAAGAATCCCAATTTTTCTTATTTGCAAATATCTAAAGATTTTTTCATTTTATGTGGGCAGAATCCAGGAGTTTCTGTTTAGAAATAAATGGTCACATGGAGAGGAAGGCAGCAAACCACACTGCCATGCATGTACCTATGCAACAATCCTGCATGTTCTCACATGTACCCCAAAACCTAAAACGCAATAATATATATATATATATATTTTTAAAAAAATAAATAAATGATCGTGCTTTTAGATCAGAGAATATATGGATTATTACTGGAACAGACACAACTCATGCACAGGAACACAGTGAGCAGACCCTGCTTTGCTGCTCTTCCAGTGACGAATTGCAGCATAGCACACGTCCCAACACCTATTGGCTCAAAGCAATCATTTATTTTTATCTCTCCCAGCTTTACGAGTTTACTGAACTCGTATGAGTGGTAGACCATGTGATGGGAGTCATATTTTCTGAGGGATCCTTTAGGCTGGGATTTCAGAGGTTGCTTTACTCATGTCCAACTTAGCACTAGGGCTGAATGAACACCTGGAAACTGGCTGGTTATCTCCTTCACTACCTCACCTCCCCATTCATGCCTTGAATTTCCTCAAATCGTGAGAGTCTCATGGTTCTTGGACTTAATGAATGGTGATTGGTTTTCACCAGAGAAAGCCTTTCAAAAGGCTCATGGAGAAGGTGCACGACATCCTAAGACCTACCTTTAAATGGCAGACAGTGTCACTTCTATGGCGTTGCATTGATCAAGGTGAGACACACAGACAGCCCTAATCAAAAGGAGAGACTCCACAAGCTGTGGCTATTGTGACTGCAGTCCTGAGGCGACATCCTTGGCAACCAGTTCCATTCAGTTGCAACTGGCTTATATACTTCACACGTACGAAAAACACTAACCCTGTAAGGAATCTCTGAAGGCAATACAATTACAGGAACAGGCTCAGAGTCAAGTGCAGTAACTTATTTAATCAGGATGTGGTGTCTGTGAGGTGACTACAAATTATCACTTGCAATCTCTCTCATCATGTGCACCAAAGGGACACGTTATCTGCTTTATACAAATCAAAAAAAGAAGGCTGAGAGAGGGAAAAGGCAAGGAACGTACTTATTTTAGAGGGTCAAAATGAAATAGCAGTCACTAATCCATATCATTGCTGAAAATTTTCATTTTCTCTGGGAATGTTACTCTGTAGCCCTTGTCCTCACCCTTCATTCTAAGCTTCTTGGAGTTCCTACCAAGGTGGCAGAATGACAGCCCTTTTCCGGCAACAAGAGCTGTGATTATCTGCTTGGTAGCATGTGTGGAGAACCCCTTAGGAGAAGAGAAACAATGTATTACCTAAAAAGCAATGAAGGCAGATTGAAGAGAGTCCCCCAAATAGCCTCTTTGTTTGCAAGGACCACCTCAGGTGTCATTTTGATCATTCTCATCTTTTCTCCCCATGTTCATTGCAACAGTTTCTGCAACTCCAACCTCACTCAAGGATATGCCTCTCTTGTTACCCCTCCTTTAACCTAACATCCAGATACCTTGAGGTGCCAGTGCACAGTGAATGACAGTCCTAATGCCTCTTTTCCTTGTTTCTTTCCAATATGAAATGTAATTCCCTCCCCTCTCACTGGAAACTCTTGTGATCTGATTGGGTGCACTCTCCTCCTTACACCTTCCCTGTCACAGGCTTGATCTCTTCTAATTTGGTAATAAATTGTAGACCCTATCACCAGCATGTAATTCATTTTGGAAGGAATTGTTTAATTTGTGCTCTGAGTGGATGAAAACTATCCTAGATGAAAACTGGCTTCCTGAGCAGAAAATGACTTGGATTTCATACAGATTTGCCATTTACCTGGTGCCCACTTTATATGAATATCCGACAAAATTTTACCCGCGGGCCCTGCTAGGCAAACGCACAATGACAGCCCTTCCTTGAGTGATATTCACCATCTCAGCGCACTTCCTATGGGCCATTTGTTACATTCATCTTTATCTCAGCTACTACTCTGTGCTCATGATGGCCAGGAGTGACATCTCAGATACAAAGGGATGACATAGAGTTCAGGGCCAACATTCAACTAACAATTTTTGAATTGCCTCTAAAACCTACTCAGCATTTTTCTTCATCCTGCTCATTCCAAATTCGTGATTTTCTCCCAGCAAATAGGACATTGCTCAGAAAGCAGAAACTCATTTCTAAATTCTAAAGCCTCCTCATCTCAAAGGTCTTTTGGTCTTTATAGTTATTGCTGAAGCCCCCCAAATTAAATATACTCTGTGATGTCGTCCTTGATGCCTAACTCCTAACTCCCTCAGCGTTGCTCTTCCTCTGGGATGCCATCTGTGATGATACTAAACATTGGTGTATGTGGACCTCTATTTGCAAGTGAGGGGCCAAGAAGACAGAATAAAAGAGAAATTTTTTTTAAATGTTCCCCAGTTTATTTATTTTTACCTTTTTAAACTTTTATTTCAAGTTTAAGTGAACATGTGCAGGTTTGTTATATAGGTAAATCCCTTGTCATGAGTGTTTGCTGTATGGATTATTTCATCACCCAGGTATTAAGCGCAGTAACCCAAAGTTCTGCTCTTCTCCCTCTTCCCACCCTTCACTCTTAGATAGGGCCCAGTATTTCTTGTTCCCTTGTTGTGTTTATGAGTTTTCATCATTTAGCTCCCACTTGCAAGTGAGAACATGCAGCACTTTTTTTCTGGTCCTGCATTAGTTTGCTAAGGATAATGGCCTCTAGCTCCATCTATGTTCCCTCAAAAGACATGACCTTGTTTTTTTATGGTTGCATAATATTCCATGGTGTATATGTATCACATTTTCTGTATTCAGTCTGTCATTGATGGACATTTAGGTTGATTCCATGTCTTTGGTATTGTGAAGAGTGCTGCAGTGAATACTCATGTGCATGTGTCTTTACCATATAATAATTTATATTCTAACATTTTAACATATTTTTGTTTCAATTTTTTTAGTACAGATGGTTTTTGGCTACATGGATACATTTTTTGGTGGTGATTTTTGAGACTTTGGTACACCCATCACCCGAGCAGTGTACACGGTACCCAATATATTGCCTTTTATCCTTCACCCCCTCACCCTTCCCTTGAGTCCCCAAGGTTTATTATATTATTTTAATACCTCTGCATCTTCATGGTTTAGCTCCCACTTATGAACGAGTGCATACAGTATTAGGTTTTCCTCTCCTGAGTTGCTTCACTTACAATAATGACCTCCAGTTGCAGCCAAGTTGCTGCAATGGCCATTAATTCATTCTGCTTTTTGGCCGAGTAGTATAACATGGTGCATATTTACCACAGTTTCTTTCCAAGCATCAGTCGATGGGCATTTCAGTAGGTTCCATATTTTTGTAATTGTGCATTGTGCCACTGTAAATGTGTGTGCATGTGTCTTTTTCATATAATACCTTCTTTTCCTTTGGGTAGATACTCAGTAGTGGAATTGCTGGATTGAAAGATAGTTCTTCTTTCAGTTCTTGAAGGAGTCTCCATATTGTTTTCCATAGTGGTTGTAATAGTTGACATTCCACCATCAATGTAAAAGCATTTCATTTTCACCACATGTATTCACACCAACATATATTCTTTTTAGATGTTTTATTTATGAACATTCTTGCAGGAGTGTGTTGGTACCTCATTGTGGTTTTAATTTGCATTTCCCTGGTGATTAGTCGTGTTGAAATTTTTTTCAAATGTTTATTAGATGTTTGTATATCTTTTTTCCTCTGTACCAAAATCTTATTTTATTTATATGTTTTTTTTGAATTGTTAATTCAGTTTAATTTTTCCCCATAAGTTATTTTTCCCCAAATACAGGTGGTATTTGGTTACATGACTAAGTTCTTTTTTTTTTTTTTAGTGGAGACAGTGTTTCACCATGTTGACCAGGATGGTCTCCATCTCTTGACCTCGTGATCCACCCGCCTCTGCCTCCCAAAGTGCTGGGATTACAGGCGTTTGAGCCACCGCACCCGGCGCCCCTGAGTAAGTTTTTTATTGGTGATTTGTGAGATTTTGGTGCACCCATCACCTGATCAGGAGGATACACTGCATTATATCTGTAGTCTGTTACCTTTCACTGCCCTCCAACTCTTCCCCTCAAGTACCCAAGGTCTATCATATTATTATTATGCTTTTGTGTCATCATACCTTAGCTTCCACATATCAGTGAGAACATATGATGTTTTATTTTCTATTCCTGAGTTACTTTACTTAAAATAGTAGTATCCACTCTCATCCAGGTCACTGCAAATTCTCATAATTCATTCCTTTTTGTGGCTGCATAGTATTCCACTATGTGGAATATATGTATATGTATATACACACAGTGTATGTATACACACACACACACACACACACACACACATATATATATGTATACACACACACACACACACACACACACACACACACACACACAGTTTTTTTTAATCCAACCATTGATTGATGGGCATTTGGATTGAT